TCGAAGAAGAAGAAGAAGAAGAAGAAGAAGAAGAAGAAGAAGAAGAAGAAGAAGAAGAAGAAGAAGAAGAAGAAGAAGAAGAAGAAGAAGAAGAACAACAACAACAACAACAACAACAACAACAACAACAACAACAAACAACAACATCAACAACAAACAACAACATCAACAACAAACAACAACAACAACAATAACGACAACCACAACAACCACCCCCTCACCTGTGGTTGGACCAACAAGGAAGACGCCGCGGGCACCTCCTCCAGGTGTTCCTGTCTGGGAGACGACTGGACACTGTCCGTGGCGGAGCTTGTCGTGTCCGACTCACCGTCTGACTGCAACTTCCGCATCCGGGCCAGGACCTGGGGGGAGGGCGGGGCCGCAACCACCTCGTGTTCCCGGGCGGGACGGGGCTCCACGCGGAGCGCTGTGATTGGCTGAGTGCGTGTGGGGAAGGCGGGGTCACGCTTGAGCAATGGGAAGGGCTGAAGGACGCTGTAGTGCTGCGAGTACTGGTGGGCGCAGTAGCGCTTGTGGAGCGCGTCTAGCAGTGTGCGAGATATGACGGGCAGAGTGCGAGTGACGTGCCGGGAGGGAGGGGCGGACGGTAGCTCTGGCCCCGTCCCCTGCATGCCGTGATGGGAGGAGAAAAGCCTGCTGGTGTCCCCGGTGATCACCCCCACCCCCATGCGAGGCGCGGTCCGTGTAGGCGCACAGTCAGACACACCGTGCCAGGTGTGAGCGAGTTTCGGGCTCAAGAACATGCTCTTCTTGCTCGTCTCCAGTTCTTTACTCAAGGAATCTTCCTCTATGACTGAACTGAGGTCCAGTCCCTTCCAAGCATCGTCAGACGGAGATTTCTCACGGTTCCCAGAAGAACCGCCGTTCTTTTCACGGGTTTTCTCCCGGTGCGGTTCCCGGGGTTTCTCACTTCCCTTCCCTCCTTTCGAGATCTGACTAAGTTTGTCGGAGATTTGGTACAGAGGTTTCCTGTCCCGCTTGGGGAGGCGCGGGAGGGCGGCTGTCGTAGATTCCTGCTCGGCCGAGCCTTCCCCGGGGCGATACGTCCCATCGTGACTTCTGAGTCGTGTGTACATCGGCACGTGCATATCCTCTCTCTTCTCTTCCGCACGACCGAAACCATGTACATTCCTTTGACCTAATACACCCGCACGGGCAGCTGCAAAAACAGCTTGGTCATTGCCAGGTCTGTCGGAGGCTCCCTGCGCCCCTGACGTAGACTTTCTCTCCGTTGATTGTACCTTCATGACTTCATTGACTTCTGGGGCTGACTTTGTCCCAGCTGACTGCTGTGTTTCTGTGATTGTCTTGTCGCTAGAATACTGGTGGTGGTTCAGCTGACGTCTGTCGTCATTGTGGGCTGGTGAGTCCGGGGGAGTCACGCGATGGCCCAGGCGTCTGGCAGCACGTGACCGGTTCCGCCTGGACAGGACTGGCGTGAGGGCGTTGACCACGACCTGTAGGTCAGCTGACCCGTTCTCCACCACGTAGTGACGCTGGCCGGCCACCAGCTTCTGACTCACGTCGATGTTCAGGTGAGACAGCTCGCGCAAACTTCCGCTCAGACTTGTCGCTTCCGGTTTGAGGGACCTCCCCTCGACGTTGTCTTTCTGGTTGTGCAAAGACTTGGACCGGAGAGTGACGGGCTTGTGGGTCCGGCGAACCTTAGTCCGTGTGGGGTCACTCTCTTCTTCTCCTTGATCGTCTGGGACGTCGCCTGCACTACCGACCTCTGTCTCTCTCGCACGATCGAAAATCTCCCCCTTCCCTTCATCTATTTTGACTTTTCCTTCTTCTTTGTCATCCACGTCTCGTACGTTATCTCCATCTTCTTCTTTTCCTTCTTTTACTTTTCCTCCTTCCTCTTCTCTTCTTTCCTTCTCATTTTCTTGTATCCCCCCAGTTCCAATATCTTGAGCCAAACCTGGAGGGTCGTTGCCCTGGCCGATATCGCCAGTCCCCTGGACCATCTCTGAGCCCAAGTCCGTCTTGCTAAAGCCATTGGTCCGAACGTCCAAAGTCTTAGAGATGTCCACAGCATACCCATCGAGGTCGAGGGACGTCTGTATGGCCGTGTCGCGCAGACTGATTCGAGAACGTTCGGGTAGAGAGATTGGAGAAGACTCGTCGACGCCATCTTCTCTCACCACCAGCTCCTCGAGTGCTGCATCGTCGGTCTCCACGTCTTCCCCTTCATACCACGCCAGATCCCGGACCGCGGACGACGGAGTTGTCAAGTTGTAATTGCCATCTCGTCCGTCTTCCCTGAAGGTCCCCGGGAGTTTTTTAAACCGAATGAGAGGCACGAAATTCCCTCTTGGTAGAGTGTAGTCTGGCTCATACGGCGGAGGTGGCAGGTTCGAATCCGGCCATTTCCCCACGTGATCCCAGGAAGTGAAGGTGTAGGCCTGTAGGGCCACGCCCCCTCCGTTCTTGTGCTGACAGTTACTGGCCAGACACATGGCGGAGTTGTCGTTCTTTGTCACGGACACTTGTCCCCCTCCGCTGTCGTCACTTCCTTTCTTGCTGCGACCTTCACCTTCTCCGTTAAGGTCACGTGACCTTGATACTGTGGGGTGTCTTTCTGATGTCTCTTCTAATCTGTCTTCTGATCCGTCTTCTGATCTTTCTACGGTGTTTCTAACACTTTCACTAAGGTGATTGTCTTCAGCGCTATTTAGGGAGTTTTCAACAGTTTTACTGTATTGCTCTCCGCTACAGCTGCTGCGATTGTCCGGGCTGTCTGTGACTAGTTTCTCTGTCTCTCTAAAACGTTTGTCTTCTGTGGTCGCTACAGCAGCTCTGCCACAACTGTCCCCCTTGTTGTCGGGACGTCTGCCAACGGCCTCGGAACTTTTCTTCCGTTTCCCGGATTTACCAGCACTTCCGTTGCTGGGATTGTGACCTGCGCGTGGTGTATGCGCAGAGGGTGTGGCAAATGTCCCCAAATCAAGGCAAGAGGTGTCAGTTACTCCGATCCCCGTCCTCTCGTTGACTCCGCCCGACTCACTGCCAGAACACGGCCGCTGTGAGCTGAACACATCCTCCCCGGAGACACGGCCAGACATCGGAGCCTGGGGAAACAAAGAAAGGGGAAATAATGAAATGTGGCCCACAATGAGCGACTATACCTGGTCGCATTTAAGCACAAGCGGGCTATCCCGAAAATACAACAACTAAAAAAATCCCAAAACTACCAACGAATAAACAAACATGATATATCTACGAC